TTTAGCATGTCACCTTCAGGTTCACCTTCAGGACTTCACAGTCCGGGGCTCAGGGTCAGCACTTTGGCCGCCCGTCCTCTTGTGCCTCAATATCTCCACATCTCTAGGAACATCTAATTGTTCCTAACCTTTCCTGGGCCCAGAATACAATTCTACAGATAATGAACAAATAGTAATAAAGACAAAATAGAACAGAATTATAGATGAACCCAATGTCCCCAAACTGCAGGCAGAGAGGCCAGCTATTCTCTTCACGGCTGACTTTGCATGCGGTGTGTGCCAAGGACCTCCAGGAGGCTTAACCCCGTGGGGACGATACCTCTGGTCTGGTTTCTGCCAGGTGACTGGCATTGTCACGCAGACTCTACTGGCGTGGTCGTGGCAGAGCTCCACTGGTATATAAAGTGGTGGGTGGTTTGGACTTTTAGTTGCTTCCACTCAGAAGCAGCTAACTAAAAGCATAAACAATTGAGAAGCACATGGCAAATGACAGAGGCATGGTGTTTTACTAGTGTGAACGTGAGGAATCCACTCAGCTTCTTTGGTCATTTTCTCTTCTGAAAAATAGGGACAATGCTACGTTTCTGCAGTCACCGTGTTAACAGTTGGGATGGTGCCTGGTGCATACTAGAAGCTCAACATTTGTCCATTTCCTGTCCCTTCTTAGTGGACACACGACAGCCATTGAGTTGATACCAACAGAAGGCATTTACTCTTTAGTTGCTTAAGAGATGCACAGTCCCAGGAGACAGGTCATTTGTGCACACTGAGCAAGCAGTTCTGAGTTTATTTTCCAGTGTCACACAGCTTGAACTTTTTAAGGCCAGGATTCGAATCCACCTTTTCTGGTTTGCCTTTTGGATATTAGAACAGGTATGGGGGCTTGAGCTGGAGTTTCTGAAAGGCCCAATCTTAAACGGACCCAGACCAAGAGGAGACCTGAACCTGACCAGGTTTGGGAAATGAACTCAAGGTAGAATTTCAAAGGCAGGAAACAGGCCACAGATAGAGGCAGCTTGGCAACAATTGAAGGAGAGCTGAAAACATCGTTTGCTTCCCAATCTGTACAGAATTTAATCTGTGCTCAACCAGTTGGGGGTGTTTATGTGCAAGAGTGAAGAATTCTTTATTAAGCAGTGTACAAATATATTGCCAGTAGTCCTGCTGTCGTTGCCCACGAAACAGAACATCACTTGGCAGCCCCTTCTGGCTCCAACAAGAGGGAATCGTCTTTTCAAACCCTTCTCCTCAGCTAGACTGCAGAAGTTAGAGATGAGTCATCTTCCTCTTAAAAGAAAACCTAAGTATACCAAAGCCACAGAACAAAAGGTTGTTTCCTGTGCAGATAATTTATTTCAACACGTGGCTCCTTTTATAGGATATCACCCAAGAGCTGAGGACAGCGTTTTTCTCTATTCCAGAAAGTTGATTAGCTTTCATCTGTGCTTTTCCTCCTCCTCTACACCCACACGTAGGCACTGAAACAGGCAGGAAACCATGGCATTTACCAGAACACCGGTTCTGTCAGATATCACATGACACAGGCAAGGAGGACCAACAGGGTCTAAGGCAGCCATTTTTAAGAGACAGACTGAAGCCTGACACTGCTTCTTCACTCTGATGGTGAGACCAATGTTCCTAGAAGTGGAAGGCCCTGGTTGCTTTACACAGATGTTTCTCATAGCACCTTCGCTGGAGCACATCTCTCCTGGCTAAGGCAAAGAGGGCTAGGTCAGTAGGATTAAAAAACAACCTCTAGTCCTTTATGGTCCATTGACCTGCAGCTCTTAATTCCTGGAAACAGTGCTGTGTGGCTGGGAAAGTCCTGGCTTTTATGCTTTCAGAGTGATGTACTGCTTGCAGCTCACACCATGTGCCCAGAAAGATTTGGGCAGCTCTGATGCTGGGCAATTCCCGGCCCAGGACAAAGACAGGTGACTGGGATCTCACCATAAGCCCAGAGACCCATCCTACAACATGTCACTTGCAAGAAAGCAGCTGGTATCTACATTTCTGAACAGATTCATGGAATAAAAGTGATTTTATTATTTCATTTTAAAGAGAATTCATACACCATTGATTATACAGAGCCATTTGTCAATGTACTTTTCTGTCCACTTAAGAAACCAGAATACACCATGATAAGAATTAGTAATGCCATGACAAGATCACTGGTTATTATCTAGGGTACAAATACACATTTAATTGTTTCACACTTTATTAATCGAAAAGGAAGAATCAGCATCTTTGCCTTTGTTGCACACAGCTGAAGCAGGAGCCTGGGAGGGCAAGGTGGCAGTTTCCTCGGGAGGGAAGGTTCATGCCCCAGAGTCCTGTCATTTTGGAAGGTTACCCCATGTTCTTTCGGTTGCCATAGCCCCTTGGATGGGTGTCCTTCCAGTCATCCCACTCCCGTGCTCTCTGGAGTACCTTCTCATCTTCCTCTTTTTCCTTTTCTTCATCTTCCTGTAGCTGAGCCACTCTTTTAAAATCAACTAAAGCGGGAAAATGAGAAAGAGGGGATGATATTCAAAGAATGCTAACAAGCAATGTCCACTCTGAACACCATCTCAGATGATGAGAAGAGGAATATGGCGAGATTCTTGCCCTGAGCCCAGCAGAGGTGGGGAAGAGTACTTTGATTGCTTCATAAATTACATACTAAATAAATAATAGTAAGAAAAGAGTCTCTGGTGGTTTTCACAAGAAGCCAAAAACACAGAATGAATTCCACTTTGAGAAAGAGTTTTTGCTAAAATGACCAACAACTCCTGCCTCTAAAAACAATACTATCAATAAAAATAAAATCCTCAACAATCCACTAAAGGAAAAAATATTTATGATTTTATGACTTGTGAATTATTAGGGGAGTGGGATTACAGGCATTTTTCCTTTTCTACCCATTTCCTTTTTACAGTTGGACATGTATGTGCGTGTGTGTGTACATGTGCTATGGATTGAACCCAAGGCCTTCACACTGATCTATACATCTAGCCCTTTTTAAAATTTTGGACAAGATCATTTTAAGTTGCTAAATTACCCAGGCTGGGCTCAAACTTGTAATCTTCCTATCTCAGCCTCCCAGACTGCTGGGATTATAGGTGTGCACCATCATACCTGGCCTAATTATACAATTTTTGTTGTGTATCTAAAATTTAAAACCACAGAGAAGCTGGACCTATCAGAAAAGAATGCCTATTTTTGTATGTGCTAAGAGCAGGTCTGAGGTCCCAATGGCACTTATTAGGCAGTGCACACTAAAAAGAAATGAGCAAACTGCTACATCTCTCTTTTGCATGGCTTTTCTTTTGTGAAGTGAAGCAGCATTTTCCTGGCTACACTGAGCTTGACAGTGAGAAATATGCTATAACTGTAACAAAGAATGAAATATGTGAGGATCTGATCTAACAACTTAGAAGTCTAGTGTTCTTTTCTTTTAACCACTTCACTGTAAAATTAAAAAATTAGAAACCACTCAAATATATTAAAGACATAAATTTTTATGAGGTTTTACAGTCTCAACTAGATCTTCTGTGGTCTGCCCCAAAGTCTCTCCATGTGCATAATGTAATTCACAAGCCCTCTTTCCCCCTGTAAAAGTAACCACTATCTGGCTTTGCATAGCAATAACTTCCTAGAGTTTATTATAGCTTTATCACCCAAGTGTGCATCCCCAGATAGTTGCCTGTTTGTACTATGTTCATTTTTTACTCAATGATTTTAGTAGAGTTGTATAAGCATTACCACAATCCAATTAAAAAAATTCTATCATCCCCAAAAAACCCTTGTGTCCATTTACAGTTAATTTCCACTCCTTCCTTCCCTCCAGCTCAGGGAATTGTTAATCTATTTTCTGGCTCTACAAAGTTGCCTGTTTTGGACATTTAATATAAACAGAATGTTGTCATTTGTATCTGATTTCATTTAGCACAGTGTTTTTGAGGTTAGTCTTGCCTATTTAAAAATATTCTGATATCTTTTTTAACCACCAGGTTCCACCTCCACTCTTTTCTTTCCTTAAAGTTATCTATTGAAGAAGCTGGATCCATTTGATCTGCAGTTTCCCAAACCTGAATTTTGCTGATAGCACACTCATGACACAGTCTAGTAGTTCTTCTGCTTCTTGCAGGTTGGCAACTGGATGCTGAGCCTTCGTTTGACTCAGATTGGATGTCTTTGATACAATGATAGGTGGTGCTGCATTCTTTCATCAGGAGACATATTTGTCTCATTTCTGACAGGGTTTGGATCTTGAATGTCCCTCAAAGGCTCCGGTGCTAAAGGTCTTGGTTGCTATGATGTTACTGGGAAATGGTGGAACCTTTAGGATGCGGGACTGGTGGGAAGTCTTCAGGTCTTAGGGGTGTGTTTGAAGCAGATAGTGGGATCCCAGCTCCTTCTCTCTTTGCTTTCCAGCCATCATGAGGTGAGTGGCTTTGCTCCACTATAAGCTCCTCATCCAAAGCAATAGACTCAGCCAAACACTGACTGAAACCTCTGAAGCCATGAGCCCACTAAAATTTTTTTCCTTTTAAGTTGATTATTTCAGGTACTTTGTCCTACAAATGGAAGCCGATTAATATAGTTGTGAGCAGTTACTCATGGTCACTTCCTAGAAACATTAATTTACTGGGGGGTTTCAAAAAAGTGGTATTCTTAAATTTAATTATTTATTTTTTATTAACTGAAATACTTTTATAAAAAGGGGCTTCCCCTCATCTATTACTATTTAGTTAGCCAGTAGGAAAGACGAATACTTGATTCTTTATCATTTACAACTCAAGAAAGTAAATAGGTTTCCTATTATACCAATTTGTTTGTTTTAAAATATAATTATAAACTCATGGGTTTAAACATATTTTATAGGTTTCAATGAACTGCAATGCTTTTAAAATACCTTAAAAACTTTTTAGCATTAGAATTTTTAAATTTACAGAAAAATTGAGATGATAGTACACCCAATTTCCCCTATGCTTAACATATTACTATGGCTTATGTATCACAACTAATGATATGATGTTGACAACTAAAAATCCGTATTTAAATTTCTTTAATTTTTACGTAATGTCCCTTTTCAGTTTCAGAATCCTATCCAGAATACCATATTATATTTAGTTATCTGTCTTATTAGTCTCCTCTAGGCTGTGACTGTTTCTCAGACTGGTACTTGTTTGTCTTGGATGAGCTGGAGAGTTTTGAGGAGTGTTAATCAGGTATTGTGTAGGACATTCTCAATTTGAGGTTGTCTGTTTTGCTCATAATTATACTAGGGCTATGGGTACTGGAGGAAAAGACCACAGGGATGAAATGCTCTTATCATATCACATCAAGGGTGCACATTATGCTGTCAGCCTGATTTATCACTGATGACAATCTTGATCATCTGACCAAGGTAGTGTTTGCAGGGTTCCCAAATGCAAAGTTACTCATCTGTCTTCTCTTTCTACGCTGTCACTGGAAGCAAGTCCTGAAACACAGCCTAACTTAAGCAGTGAGGAGTTGTGCTCTACCTCCTTGAAGCAGGAGCATCTACATAAATAATGGTTTATCTCAGGTTTAGTCTGGGGTTATAGGGGAGAACTATTTCTTGTCTCTCATTCATTATTCAATCATTTATTTCTATCACTATGGATTCATGGGTATTTACTGTATTCCCCAAATGCTCAAATTATTCCAGTTTGGGATGATAAGACTCATTTCAGTTCTTGTATCCCTTTGGCACCTCAACTTTTTTGAGTGCTTCGTTATTTTCTAGTACAAGATGCTCAGGTTCATCTTGTATATTTCCTGCTCTAGTCCTAGAATCAGCCACTTTTCTAAGGAGCCCTGATTCGTTTGTTGGTGGACAGTATTAGAAAATGAGATTTGGAATCCCTCTTGAAAATATCAATGACATTCTTTATATAGCTAGAAAAAAAATCCTAAAATGAAAATGTAGCCATTAAGAAAAAAACAAACCTAAAAAGGCCAAAGAAATTTTGAAGATAAAAAGGAGGAGGACAAATGGCATGACATTAAACTAAAAAGCTTCTGCACAGCAAAGGAAATAGTCAATAGAGTGAAGAGACAACCTGCAGAATGGGAAAATATTAGTAAATTATACACCTGATAAGGAGGTGATATCCAGAAATATATAAGGAACTCTAAGAACTCAACAGCAAAAAAGCCAAACAATTCAATTTAAAATAGGCAATAACTCTAAACAGATTTTCTTAAAAGGCATATAAATGGCCAACAAATATACAAAAAAATGCCTAGTATCACTAATCGTCAGGGAAACGCAAATCACAATCACAATGAGATATTACTTCAGTTAGACTTACCAAAAGATAACAAGTGCTGGCAAGAATGCAGAGAAAAATGAACCCTTGTACACTGTTGGTGGGAATGTGAATTAGTATAGCTACTGTGGAAAACAGTGGGGAGGTTCTTCAAAAAACTAAAAACAGAATTACTATATAACCCAGCCATTCCAGAACTGGGCATATATCCAAAGAAAATGTAATCAGTCTGTTGAAGAGAGATCTCTCCCATGTTTACTACAGAACTCTGGACAATAGCCAGAAAATGCCATCAACCTAAGTGCCCATCAATTGTGGAATGGATAAAGAAAATGTTATATATACACATTTTAATACTATTCAGCAATAAAAAAGATGAGATCCCATCACATGTTACGCCATAGATGGAACTGGAGATTATTATGGTAACTGAAATAAGCCTGGCACAGAAAGACTAGTATCACATGATCTCACTCAAGGGGAATCTAAATTTGGTATCACAGGAGTTGAGAGTAGAATGGTGGTTGGAAGAGGCTGAGGAAAGTAGCAGAAAGGGAAGGATGGAGAAAGGTTGGTTAATGGGTACTAAGTGAGGAAAAGTGGGTCTGGTGTTCTACTGCACATCAGAGTGACTACAATGATGTTAATGTACTGTGTATTTTCAAATAAAAGCTAGAAGAGAGCTGGGGTTTTAGCTCAGTGTAGAGTACTTGCCAAGCAAGAGGCCCTGGGTTCTACCTCCAGCATTGAAAAAACACAAAGCTAGCAAAAAGGATTTTGAATGTTTTCATCACAAAGAAATAATAAATTATGTATGTGTGCGGAAACAGATCATCCTACCCCGATTTGAGCATTATACAATATATACAGTATTGAAACATCACATGATACTCCATAAACGTACAATTTTTATGTCAATAAAAATTTAAAACAAAAATTTTAAGAGAAATAAAGATTTGGCCACTAAATGTATTCACTGCTACAATTAATTATCTTTGTTGAGTGTGTGCCACTCAGAATAAACCAAGGGCCCTGTTTCTGGTAGCAGGTGCTTTACCACTGAGCTATATCCCCAACCCCCAAATATCATTTTTTAAGCTCAACTGGCCAATGAAAACATCAAACTGGCTATTGAGTTCTTGTGATATAACCTTAGTAATCTTTGAAAGGTTCTTCCCCATTTTTCATGCCTAATGGTTCCAAACTTATCTCAGACCCTTCCTGTCTCATAACCTCGAATTAGCTATCTAAGATAGCTTCTTTTTTAAAAAAATGGGAATGGCATTTCCATACAACAATCTAGGTTACTAGGTATATTCATTGCTGCTGGCCTATTCCTTGTTTCTAAGCCTCTTTGTTTTCGTTGTTGTTTGAGACAGGGTCTCATTCTATAATTCATGTTGGGCTTGAACTATGTAGCCCAGGCTGGCCTCAAACTCATGGTGTTCCTCCTGCCTCAGCCTCCTGAGTGCTAGGATTACAGTGCCCATGCACAGCTTCTAACCCTTTTTGGTGGACAGAGCAATGGTGTGTGCTTTTACTTTTAAGCACAATTTTTCATGAGTTCATATGCAGGCCTATAAGGCTTTCTGTTCTCTAATCCTTTGTGTATCTTAAATATTTATTATATATTTTTGTGGCATAAAGTGTGGACACCAAAAAATTTAAAAAGCAATTTGTTTCCTCTCTTTATAAGTAAGTCACCAGCTGTTTTTGATGAGATATCCATGGTGCTTTTTCTTCTAGGCCTAGTAATTTTACTAGAATGTGTCTTTTGGTCATTTAGGGTCAAAATTTTCAGATATATAGTATACTTTCTCATATCAAAAAATTTTTTACTTCCAGGGAAGTTGCCTTAATTCTAGTTTTTAGCACTTATTTTTTCCTTGCCTTTTATTCTTCAGATATTCCCATTATTCACATTCCAGGCCTTCTTTGCTGTCTTATTAATTTGTCACTTTATCTCAAATCCTGTTCATTTCCTTAGTTTTAAAAATTTTCCCATTTTTACCTTAGTAGGGCATTTTCTGTATTTACTCATTCTTTTGTCCTTCCATTTTAGCCTTCCTTTCTGAAATGACTCCTTTTCAGAAGTTGTTATCACATCTCTCAAGTTTTTCTAACCCTAGTTTATGTGGTCCTTCCATGTTCTATGATGTTTTCAGGATACCTTTTGATTCATTCTAAAATATTATGTTCAGACAGATTCAGATAGATTAAGATTTGTTCTGGTTTTTTGAGTACATCTTTCTGGAATGTTTTCAGTTATCTTTTTTGCCCTTGAAATAATTTAAAATAATTTTGTGTGGGATTTAACCTTGATGATTCTGTTCTTTTAAAAAAATAACTTTGAGGGCTGGGGATTTAGCTCAATGGTATTGTATATGCTTCACAAGCTCAAGGTCCTGAATTTGATCCCTGGTACCAAAACAAAAAACAAACAAAAACAAAACAACCAACAACTTTGAGATATATTTCACATACCATAAAATTCATACAATAAAAGTGGGTTCAGTAGGTTGTGGCATATTCAGTTACGCAAGCATCATCGCAATTTGTTCATTTTCCGGAACTTTTAGAAGCATGTAGCTCAGGGAGGCTTTTCTAACTTCACAGTAGCTCCTTTTCTGCTGTTTTTACACGGGTTAAAGAAACAGGGCGATTTGATTAAAATTCCTGGTTTTGGATCTTTCTCTTACTTTTACATGAACACTCTCTTTCCTTCTGTATTATTTCTGACCTGCTTAATTTCAATTCTATACTCAGAAATTTCTCTGTAGTATGGTTCCCTGAATTGGAAGAACTGGTGGGTTAATTTCAAGAGTTTATTAAAGATTGGACTGCTCTATCCCTTTCTAACTTTATAACCACTGGTCCCTATATTCTTAGTTTTTACTGGAAGACAAAACTCTTCTGAGCTTCAAGCACTATTCTTAAATTGGACTGCCACACTTTTTAATGCATATAGTATTTTAGAATTTTGTGTGTCAGGTCTTTCAGACAGTTTCCTATAGGTACCACCAACCTGTTCATACTGTGCCCTTAGTTGTTTTTATTTTGTGGCTCAGGGGGATACACTGAGACCTATTTTCACTGTAATTATTACTATGAGATTTTACTTTAGCATTTTTGAAGTATTTCATGTAGAAAAGTAACAAATACAAGTCTATTTAATGAATTTTCACACATAGTGAACACATCTATTTATCAGTATCCAGAGTAAGATAGAAAACACTGCTTACTCCCCAGGGGCCCCCTCAGGTCCAATTCCATTGAGTGGCACATGGAAGTTTCACCCTGCTTTTGAACTTTGTATGAATGGAATCATTTAAGTCACAAAGTTTTTAAACTTTGTAAGAATGGAATACAATCTCATTTTTTTAGTCATAATTAAGCTTGCAAGATTCAGCTGTATTAGTCACTTATAGCTGAAGAACTACATTTTAACCTTACTGCTACATAGTAGTCCACTGTGTAAATATATGAAAATTCACTTATCCATTTTAGTATTTATGGGCATTTGAGCAGTGTCCACTGTGGTCCCTACAAATAATGACGCTGTGAATAATTATGGTCTCACTCTGCTTAGATAGATACCAAGGAGTGAAACAGTCAAGTCATAGAGGTCTACACATGTTCAACTTCTAAGGAGTACGACCACTACCACCGCCCCCAGACTTCCTTTCTTTGTTTCCTTTATTTACTTTGGGCTTACTTTGGTCTCTTTTCTCCCAACTTATTAAGTTAGAACCTTAGGTAGTTGATTTTATCTTGCATTTCCAGAAATTTTGGAGGATATAGTTTCTCTCCTGAGTTTTATCTTTTTATTCACTGCAAGCATTTTTCCTCTCTCATTTTAAGAACAAGAAATAATAGCTATTTAAAGTCCTTCTCTGCTCATTCCAATACCTGGATTATCTTGGGGATCATACTCATTGATTGCCTTTCCTCTTAAATATGAGTCACATTGGCTTTTTTTTTCCATGTCTAGTAGTTTAAGATTAAATTCTAGGGGCTGGGGATTTAGCTCAGTGGTTCCGCTGCCTGCCTCGCAAGTACAAGGTCCTGAGTTCGACTCTTGACACACACACAAAAAAAATACTGAATTCTAGACATTAGGAATAATACACAGATAGACCCTGACTTATGATGGCTCAACTTATTTTTTTTTTTGAATGTACAATGGTACAAGTGATATGCATTCAGTAGAAATTATTCTAAATTTTCAATTTTGATCCTTTCCCATGTTAGTGATTTGTAGTATGATTATGTTGATATTGGGCAGCAGGACCAAACCATGGCAACCAGTCAGCACATGATCACAAGGGTAAACATTCTGTACTCCACAGTGCTGTGTTGCTAAGCTATGATGATAGGTGAGGTGTATTAAATGCATTTTTAGCTTACGACATTTTCAGTTAACAATAGGTTCATCAGGATGTGAACCTGTCTTAAGGTGAGCAACACCTGCATTATGTCACTCCTCTAGAGAACTGATTTTTCATTCTAGAAGTAAATTAATGTCTAGGACCAAAATGACAAGTTCTATCACCCTTGCATGGGAAAACAGTTAAGTTCTGCACTGAGTTATTTTAGTTCTAGCTAAGGTGCTTGGACAGTCCATTCTGTAAACAGAGTTTAGGAGTCAGCCATAGATTTTCACAGGGTCTATATACAGAAACAGGGTTTTTCCTCTGTAGTTCTCTCTGCTCTATGATACCATCTTTTTAACTTTTCAGTTGCTATGGTCACCTTGAACTCAGGTCTCTCAGTCTCCAAGCAATATGACCACAAATTTCTACCTACATTTCAGCTAGTCTGCATCACAGAAACTGTAGTCTGCCCACAGATAAAAAGCAAAAAGCAATACAAAACAAAAAACTTTCAAATGGCTACTCTTTTCTACACTGAAGTGGAAGTAGCATTAGCACTGGACTTTTGAAGGCCTGAATTTAAATCTTAGCCCAATCACTTACTATGGTATGGTAAATCAGTTTTCAGAGACCAGGTTCTCACTTTAAAATGGGAATAAGAATGTCTGCTTTTAAAAGGGTCAAAAGAGAAAAGAAAACTGAGGTTCAGAGGGGTTGAACTGGTGTGCCATTTGTTAAGTGGCAGGTACTGAACGAGTGACCCCAGTTCTGTCCATGGTATTTCTGCCCTGATATATAACTTTCACCTTTCTGATGGCTACCCTTTCCTTCTATTCCTTCCACTTCTGAGTACCTATTATGCTCCCATTACTAAGTTGGACACGGAGAATATAAGAAGTTGTAGTCCCTGCTCTCAAGCAATTTCAAGTACCATTCCCTCCTTCTAAGTGCTGACTTCCTTCCACTTTATCGGCTTTTGGTAGTTTTTTTTTTTTTTTTGGTGTCTTTAGGTAGTTTTTTTTTTTTTTTTGGTGTCTTTAGGTAGTTTTTTTTTTAATGTTTTTTATTCAGTTTGTAATTGTTATCTATATGAGGGGTTGGCCTAGTACAACCTACTCCACCATTACCACAAATGGAACTACTGTTCATAGATTTTTGGCTTTGTTATCTGGCTGTTGTTTTTATGTCGTATTTGGAGAGATTCCAAACCTATGCTGCTAAAAAACAAAACAAAGCAAAAAATCTTGTAGTACTGGGATTCAAAGGCAGGGGAACTCTACCTCTGAGCTACATCACCAAATTTTGCTTTGAGACAAAGCCTTACCAAGCTGTCCAGGTTGGCCTAGAACCTGGAATCCTCCTATCTTAGCCTAACAAGTAGCTGATATTTCAGACATGTATCACCATACTTGGTGAATCTTTTCTTTCTTTTTTTGGGGCCTAGAATCTATTACTTAAGAGTCTTTACCCAGACTACCTGTTCCTGAAGAGTGACATACTTGATAAGAGTTTAATTTTGAGGGAGTAAGGAGCCAACAGCACAAGTATTTTCTTTCCACTCCTTCATACCTGATGTTGTCTTGGCTCTTCCCTGGTCTGGTAATGCTCCATATTTCCGACGCTGCTCATACCAGTCACTCACTGTCATAGTTGCCAGACTTGGATAACCAGCTCCAAATACTCTGTAAAAATCACACTGCCTTCAGAAAACTAAACAAAAACAGCAGCATTAAAAAGTCTTCACTTTAGGGCCGGGGATTTAGCTCAGCGGTTCGGTGGCCTGCCTTGCAAGTGCAAGGACCCAAGTTCAATCCCCAGTACCCCCCCCAAAAAAAAGTCTTCACTTTAAATGACGAGGCCTACATCTGTTTCAGCTTTGCTTCCCTATTCTGCAATCTTCGGAACACTTGTACAAACTCCTCCGAAGATGTTTAAAAAGGGGCATTAGAGTCAAGAGGCTTCACGAGAAAATAAATAGTCCACATCATCTCCCAATGAGCAATCCCAGAAACTAATGCCCTACAAAGCAGTGATGACACTGTGGAATGGGAATTTATAGTTAATGGCTCTGAAAGGTACAGATAATCTCTTGCCACCTTAAGTAACAGCATCAAGCACTCAAAACTAAATCACAGATAAGCAAGAATGGCCTTTTGAGAACTGAAGCTAAAGGCATCAAGAATGGCAATAACGGAAACAGTCTTTAAGTATATTATTAGATTCTTTATTCTTTATTAGCTTCCTTAAACAAATGTCTGAAAAAGACACACCTGGATAAAATATCAGGACAGTTAAATACCACTTTGGTTTTGTTGTTGTTTTTGTTGCTGTTGTTTGAGATAGGGTCTCACTATGTAGTTCAAACTAGCCTTGACTCACTATGTAGCCCATGCTGGCCTCTATGGCAGTTCTTCTGCTTTAGCCTCCTAAATGCTGGGATTATAGGTGTGTGCCACCACACCCAGCTAGGAAAGTTAAAGTCACTTTGATGATAGAACAGCCTCCACAGGTGAAGCCATAACTTTTCCATAATGCCCATTCCATGTGTTACCATGCACTGCCACAAACTACAAAAACAGGAGCTACAAAGGCAAACCACTTTCTAATACCACCTACTTGGCTTGGGCCTTGTCGCGAGTGAGTATGAAGGACTTCATTGGAGGTCTCTCCTGAAGAGATGAGTGAGAAGATGATGCCTGAGAAAAAATTAGAGGTACATTTGCCATTTTACCCACACTATAATGCGGGTTCTTGCTCTTAAATATTCTGGTGCTAAATGGGTTAGTTATCATGGGAGTGGGTTCCTGATGAAAGGATGGGTTGGGTGCCCTGACCCCTCTTGTGAGTGTATGCATGTATAACATGTGTGCTCTCTTTTCTTCCCCCATGAGATATTGCAACAAAAAGGTATCAGATGTGTGCCCCTTGACCTTGACCTCTAGACATTTAATAAATCTGTTCTTTATTTTAAAAAAAGTATTCTAGTGATACAAAAGCTCAAAAATTCACCTGCTTTCTATTTATTAGTCTTTACAATATAACCCTCCTGAGGGAGCTTGAAACCTTGCTACAAAGAGAAAGGAAAATTTTTCCCAAGGATTTTTTTTTTTAACCAAAAGGAAAAAAATTTCTTGGCTTTAAAATCTCCCTTTCAAAAAGGGAGATTCTAAAGTCTCGTATGATCCATCTAAGTGCCTTAAGGTGAATTTGATGCCCTTTTCCTCAGTCTGGCTTTCTACGGAAAAGCTGAATTATTAAGACTTTCGCACAACCCCTTCCAATGTAATTATGCTATTAATTGTCGAGAACTCTTGGGTGTCTTAAAAATGGATGCTCGTAAACAAAAGGGGGAAGGATAGATTAGCAGTCTTTGTGCAGAGTTATATAAAAAATATCATGGAAACTTGGCATAGTAGGGGCAGACTGGAACAAATCATGGCTGAAGAAAATTTACTCACTCGGTTCCAACTCCAACATTTCCAGAACCAATTCCACTACCACATGAAAGCAATTTTTAAAAATCCAGCAATGGAGATAAGGCAGGACTCAGAAAAGATCAGCTTCTAAATGCCTGAAAACCACTCATCTAGATAAGGTGTCTTACATAGCATTGGAATACCAATTTCATTTTTTTATCCTTTAGCTCAAAGAATTAGGTTGACTTATCTTGAAGCAAGAGCTCCAAGGGCTAATTAGTACAAATTAGCTTAGGAAGAGGCTTCTCTGAGGATTTAAATAAATGCTTGTGACCAGCTGATAAATTCACCTCAATTTATACTGTATCCTATGCCAAAGACCAAGTAGAAACAGCCATTTTTTTTTTTGAAGGAGCAGCTCCCAAAGTAGGTTATTTTCAAAGACAGCCAGAGCTGTATTATACCAGGTTTTCTCTACCAGCATTCGGAGAGTTCTATACATAGAGATGTCACAGTACTACCAGCTTCCTAACTGGGAGATTTAAAGGTACAAGTGCATTATTGTGTAAGCTTGCGGTCTAATTTCTTCCTCAACCTGAAGGCATTCCCTGGTGTTTTGTTTCATCGTCTTTTGCCTATTTCTCCAGTTCTGTTTTCCATCTCTTTCTATTAGTTAAACACATTTTCAAGGCCTTTCTCTCTTCTTATGCCTTCTTTCAATAGCTACAATTTCCCATAGCCAAAACCATTTTTTATTTCAGGAACGTCTATCTCCCATGCTATGTCACAAAATTAAAAATAACTCGGGCTGAAAGGTCCTGAAGCATCCTTTCTGGATGGAGGACCAAGGAAGGGGGACACAGGTGAAGCACAGTGTACAGAAAAGAGAAGCAACTGTCTCTTCACAAAAATTATAGCACGCTAAAGACAAACGTACCCAAATCCTAAAGACAAAGAAATGTTCAAATAAAGAATAATCAAAGGTAAAAAAAATTTAAAATAACTAGAAGTGCGTTGCAGATTAGAAAGTACTGGGAAATGCTACTATAAGCTAAAGAGAAAGCAACCTTAATAACTATCAGCCTTTCTCTACTCATGCTAATAAGAACAATGATTTTATGAAAACTTACAAAGATTTTAATTTGATTACTTTCCCAAAGAATATTCAAATCTCTGATGCAGCTTTTCTTACATGGACAGTGACCAGGCTTACCTCTTTTGAAGAGTCTCTTTCTCTTAGGATCTTTATTTCCTGGTCAATGCTTTCAATCTCTTCTAAACTGATTCCAATCCACCTCCGAAGGTGAAGGAGGTAATATTCACGAACTTGCTCATCATCTGCTTGACCACTTTCCACTGCAGATTTCAGTGCAGACAACCTATGCTCCACTTCTTTCTTCTGCCTGTATCTGTTCCACAGAAAAGTCAATGCTTAATCTCTTCTAAACTGATTCCAATCCACCTCCGAAGGTGAAGGAGGTAATATTCACGAACTTGCTCATCATCTGCTTGACCACTTTCCACTGCAGATTTCAGTGCAGACAACCTATGCTCCACTTCTTTCTTCTGCCTGTATCTGTTCCACAGAAAAGCATTATCCATGAACTTAAAAATAAAAGAGAAATTCTTTCAAAAGAAAGCTACAGTAATATTTTAGTTTTGCAAAGGTCCAGTATGCAAATTTCCACATTAGCAGGAATATTAATTTTTATCATCCAGAGTTTACTAGTTTACCAGACTACAAAGTCAAGAAAGGTCCCAGAAAGGACTGATATAACATTCTGAAGCCAGAAAAATATACATGTGACCTGATCTCAAAGTCCTGCAATCATCCTAAGGGATAAGAGCATCTTAGCCATTTGATTCTATCAGCCCTTATTTGGCTTAGTCACTCAGTGCTTCCCCATAAGTTTTTTTTTTGTGTGTGTGTGGTGCTAGTGATCAAACTCGCCCTTGCACTTGCGAGGGAGGTGGCAGAACCACTGAGCTAAATCAGTTTCTGTTTTGAGCTACACCTTTAAAGAATTACAGAATCTTAAGGCTCATTTATCTGCCATTAATGCAGGAGTTCCTTGTGAAACAGCCTAAAAATTGGTCATTTCTTTCTTCTAGGTAAAACATTCCCAGTTCTTCTGACTCATCTTTATTTAAAGACTGATAATCACCTTGGCTGTCCTTTTCAGTATGTATTATTCTGTCAGTCGGTCTCATTAATCTGACAAATACCTCGAGTGCCTATTGTGTGACAAGTACTGTTAGTGCTGGAAACAATAGTTCATAAAAGAACACCTTTGCTTTCATTCTAGTGGGAAAAGATAATAGAAACAGATGAGTCAGGCGGTGACAAGTACTATGAAGCACTAAAAAGCATGGTCAAGTGGATAGAGTGAAAGTGCGAAAGTAGGAGTGCTATTATATTCAAGGTGGTCAGGAAAGACCTCTCTCAGGAGGTGCTATCTGAGTAAAGGCTTCAAGAAAACAAGAGTGCAAGCCATATCAGTATGTGGAAGAATGTTCTAAGAGAGAAAAACACGAAGGCCCTCAGGAGGGAGAGTACCTGGTCTGGCATATTTGGGAAATAAGGCCAGTGTGGGTGGAATGGAGTGAAGAAGACTAACAGGGAATGAGGTCAGAAAGGTAGCCAGGTCCATAACATGTAGAACTTTGAAGGCTCTATGATACCCGAATACCGAATACCATGGGGTATTCTGAGTGACATGGCAAAGCCACTAGATTTTTGAGTACATGACATGCAAAGAACAACATTAAGATTTTTTTTTAAAGCCAGTTGTGTGGAATAGGGGCTGAGACACAAGGGGACAAACCAAGAAAGCAATTAAGAGGATAATGCCACAAATGAGGTGAGAGACAGTGACTTTAAATAAGAAGGTAGCGTTGGGAGCAGTGAAATGGTTTATTTAAAATATAAAACAGGTCAAGTTTACTGAATTATTGGATGTGAGGGCTTGAGGCAGAGATGTCAAGGAAAAAACACCCAGATTTCCAAGTATCTTGAATTGTTTGCCTGGAACCCCATTCCAGACCTCTAGAACCAGAAATTCCTCTGCAGATGTTCACCTAAATCAGAAGGTCAGAGCCTTGGACTGAATGGGGAGGGGTGTTTGAACTTCCTAAAATTTTATACAGACTCTACATGTATATTTTCTCTTTTTCTGGGGGGAGGTCTTAGGAATTATCAGAGAGGACCATGATCCATGAAAAGTCAAGAACCAGTGTTCCAGAAACACTTTACTATAAAAAGTTTTTTTAGGCTTTTCTGCTTTTACTCAATGAGTGGGCACTTTCTGTTACAAACAACTATTACACCATCATCACAGAAGTCTCCTGAGTGAAACACTACAAAGGTCAATTCCTAGCTCATGAATGCTGTTAGGAATATTATTTCTGGATGTTCAATCCGTTCTACTGCTGTCCCCACCCCTTCCAGAAGGACTTGCGTCACAGAACAAACAATGGGAATATATACAACCCAGCATAAATTCTGGGTTATCTAATGGTCTTCTGAGTTATGTTCTTTTGCTCATGTTTTAAAACCTTTTTTATCTTGGTAAAAGAAGCCTTTCTTCAAATGAGAGCTCATACCGAAAGCTAGTAACATAAACTCTGCCTTGGTGAAATCAAAGGAAACCTAACCAAGAAGGAATCTTAAGCCTTCGAAGCATGGGCCGACAACCACTGTCCTACACTTTTGTCACTGTCCTAGATTCCCCATGATAAGACATGACATATAAACACCTCTCTTATCACCCTAGAATCTCCTTATCCCTGTGATCTTTCTGACTCTAGGCAACTTTCACCATTCCTTTGTTCTGTTTACAAGCTGATGAAGAGAGCTAAGGAATTACAAATTTGTGTCAAATGGGTTAACTACAAACCCCCGTGACCAAATTTTGGCTTTTTGTTTAGATTTTATGGAGAATCCATACCACACAGCCTCCCAAACAGCTGGAACTGCAGGTGTGTGCCAAGTGCCCTGCTCACCCTTCCCCTTCTTTACTCTTGCCTTTAAAGGAACTGTCTGTGTTACTGTACTTTTCCTATCATCTAGTTTCCCACTCACATCCTTCCAGGCTTCATTCTCACCTCCCTGACAATTAGCAGTTACAACTTTTCTCTCAACTGGTGCCTTTCCATCTTAGAAACACCTATCTTCAACTCACTTTTTTTATTTTTACCTTTTCAAATGAGGACCCTTCCTTTTCTATGCTTTAGAGGCAACAGTATGAGAACTGGGAAAGACCTCAGTTTAAATCCTACTATGTAATTTTGTTCAAGTCAACTATCAAAGTCCATTTCTGTATCTTTAAAATGAGGGTCTACTTCATGGAGTTAAGAGAATCAAATGGAAAAATGCACATGAAAATGTTTTATAAGCCGAGATACAAAAACTTGCATATGGAAATTGAGGCTAGGAGGGGCTAGGTGATGTCTCATTTAATAAGTGATAGAAATTGGTAATCCCATGCCTGTGATTCCAAAGAATCTTTTTCTGTTACACCATATTGCTTTTTTTGAAACAGGGTCTTACTATGTAGTTGAGACTGACCTGGAACTCAATATGTAGCGCAGGCTGGTCTCGAACTCACAGCAATCCTCCTGCTTCAGCCTCCCGGGGTGCTGGGATTACAGGCGTGCGCCACCACACCCAGCAACACCATATTGCTTTCATCTTTCAGGTCACCATTTTACTTGCCCCTCGCAAAACACCTCCAAGTTCTTACCATGATTCAATTACTGAGTTGGGCACCAAGGGATACAATTAGGATACTAACATACAATCAATTAGTTAAGGTCTCTGATGTTGAGGAGTTCCAAGTCTAGAGACTGATAGCTACACTATGCTTAACATAAATTAAATGCTACAGTATGGAGGGAAGATACCTAAGGAGAGATTTCAGAGAATTTAGTATTTGCTCTTTACACCCTGCTTATTTGTACTTTGGTGAGTCTCTTATCTCTTGTTCTTATATCCTATTCCTTTTCTTTTTCCTTTAGCTTGGCCCAAAGTTTACTCCTTAGCTTTTTTTCTTTTGCATAATTACCTTGGTATACTCATTCATATTCACCAAAGCAAGGGGCTCCTAAATGTTTTTTCCATCAATTGTAAAACAGTCTATTAAGTTTTATTTGCATATTTCTACCTGTCTATGGAAATGGCTAGCCAGTTTTCACTTTAGGATTGAAATTCAGTAAATCCCAAACGAGACTCATTAGTTACCCAGCTTCCACTTTATTTCTGTCAAAAGAATGGAGGCTTATTTTTTGATTTCTACAATATTCTTGTTTTACATACTTACATTCAGGAAAATCTATAATTTCTATTTTTAACCATCCTTTAAGACTCAGCTTGCATGTAGTTACATTCTGAAATCTTTCCCTCATTTCTCCAGTCAGACGTGAGCGCTCTTTCCCCACAACACTGTATCGCTATGCAATTTAGTTTCTGAATAATTATTTGGATACAGTGAGCGCTCTTTCTCCACAACACTGTATCGCTATGCAATTTAGTTTCTGAATAATTATTTGGATACAAAGTTCAATATTTACATGCCAAGGGGCTGCTCTCAATTTTACAGAGGATAGGATACTGAATGCTACTTTGTATCAGTCTATCTTATATTCCCCAAAACCATTCACTGTCAATCACTATCCTGTAACCATACTTTATTATTCTTCATAGCCCTTACCTCCTAAATTTATCTTACTACTTACAAGCTTATTGTCTGTGTCCACTAGAATAAAAGCTTCTTGATGGGATTGATTCTGTCTGGTTCTCTAACATCTAAAACAGTTCCCAGCACATAATATCTCAATAAATATTTGTTGAATAAATTAACCAATTTTTAGCTCTCTAGACTAAATGTCATCTCCGAGCTTCATGCTATCAGATACCTCTATTTGGGTGTCTTCCAACTCAACATGTCCTAATACTGAATTTATATTCTCCCCATCTGATTTGCTCTTCCTCCTCTATTCTCCATTTTAGTAAATTCTATAGCCATCCACCTAAATCAGAAATATGGACATCTTTCTTCTATTTCTGTTTCCTTCTATTCCACCCCCAATAATCAACTAGTTCATCAGGTTTTTTGCAAATGAAACCCTCCTAAATAAATATATCCCATTTATCCCTCTGTCATTGCCCTAGTGAGCTGTTATCACCTCTGTGATTTAACTGGGTCTAGTGTGATAGTTAAAATGCAAGTATGACCATGTCACTTTTGTAAAAGAAACAAAATTTTTCAGTGGGTCCCAGTTACCAACTCTAGCCCTTTAGAATAACCAACCTAAAAAGTTAACACTTATAAAATACTATTTACTAGATATTATGCTATTTTATGCATTTATTTCATCTATGCTTCTTAACCCTATAAAATATGTATCATTATTACTGAGATTGCACTTAGGAGGAAATCTGAGGCTCAGATAGGCTAAATAACTTATCTAAACCCAATAGCTTATAAATATAAGTTGGGACCCAAAGTCAGATCGCTGACTCTGCAACCTACTCTTAGCCACAAATTTATAATCATAGCTGACTTTGAGTGGCTGGTTACTCTAACAGACACCACGCTAAATGTTTCATATGTATTTCTCTTTTAGTCCTCATACAATACTGAGGAAGGAGCTTTTATTACTTCAATTTTATAGGTTGGGAAGGTAAGTAACTTGCCCTAAATCATAGAGTAATTAAGTGATGGAGCTGGGTTTCAAAGACCTTCCCTAGTAACCAGTCTTTCTCACATTCCAAGCGCACCTTGGTCTTGACCCTACAATATTTTTAGGCATCATTCCTCTCCCCTCTTTCACAATCTTTGTGTTTCAGTATTACTTAACTGCCTGAGTGCTGTTCCCCTCACATATCCCCACTCCAGGAGTTTCCTTAATCACTTGACAGTATACCCTAAGCATCACTTGGGCAGCGTAGTTTGTCATAGTGACTATTCTGAGCATCACTCGCACAGGTGTCATTTCAACCAGTAGATTATTGTATTGAATAAATTTAATAAAATTGTCATTTTTATATTTCTTGTTATCTTATAAAAATTAACAAAAAAATGCAATTTTTGGTCAGTCTGTATTTAAATGATCAAACTGGTAAGTGGTTAATGCTCCAGTGGCTTTACTAATGCCATTACTTCTGCTGGCTAATGCCTTCCTCTCCTTTTCCTCTAGACAATACTATTTATCCTTAATGCAGGACAGGAATTACCTTTTCCAGGGAGCTTTCTCCTCTCCCCTCCTCCTTTGGCTGTGTGCCCTTCGTTTGTGCTCTCACAGTATATTGTGCATCTCTCTATTACATCAATTTATACTGATATTCTGTTTCTATTCCCGTTTTCCTCACCAGAGTATGAACTCCAAGGCAAAGACCCCTCATATTCATACAAATGCCTATACAGTTTGTATCCTCAGTGGCTAGCATAGTTCCCAGACATTGAGCACCTACTGAAGATTTTAAAAAATAATTATGATAACCAATTTTTTCAAAGTCACCTGATAAAGTGGTGCCAGGACTATGATCAGTTTAGGATGTTATACATCTGATTCAGTATGCTTGTTAGAACAGAGGTACTCAATAAACAACACAAATGGACAATACCGCTGAGATATGTGCCCTTCAGAGATATTTACCTTATATGTATATCATTATGCTGTGATGTGGAAAAGATTGCAAGACAGTTTGCTAAACAACATTGTTGCCATTCCCAACCATCATCTAGCAGAGGTCAGATATAATCAATCATCTCAACAAAGGCGGATGCTTTTTGAAAAACTCAGAAAAGTTTACTATCCCCAGAGCTTCCGTTCAATAAGAAACAAGACATACACCATTCTGTCTTACACACGCACACACACACACACCCCACCCCAATTGCACTGCCTATGGATACCCCCCGAATTACAGCTATTGACCCACCTCTCTATTTTAGCCTGTCTTTGAGATGCCATCACAACGAGGTTAGCATAGGCCACCGAGGGACTAGCAGTGTTATTTTCAGCTGAGTTGTTCTTCGTTTTGGGCAGCTGAAACTCTCCCACATGATGATAACGGCACTGAGTTAAGTAGTTTAAAAAATGTTCCCGAGCCTGCTGCAAATGATCTAGACGCTTGCCGGGGTTGACTTGTTTCATGGTGAGGGCTCCTTGAAACGCTGGCACCATCAGGTATTTCAGGTCGATGGAAGCAATTTCTTCTAAATCTTCATTTTGGCTGGAAAGAGTAAAAAGGAGGCTGTGAAGCCTGGTTTAGCATTCAAATTGTAGCCCTTGCTTCCTGAGAAAGAGGAGGGCTGGCAGGGAGTGATAACAGTGGCAACAGTAGCGAGTTTCAAAGTGGCTGTGTCCGCATTCAATGCCTACGCAGTCAGCCGACACTAGGGAGCAGAGTTGTGGGACATCAACCATCTCAGGTGAGAGGTGGACAATATAAACAATCTACACAAGGGGTCTTAGTGTTAAACATCTTCTCCACCCAAGCACAATGGCTGCATCCTTGATAACAAGTATTACCTTCGCTTTCAGCCGTTATTACCCTCTCCCCCATACCTGAACAAATCGAGCTGCGATAACATTTCAGCAGCCTTCTCCAGCAGGTCCAGTCCTTTGAACACTTTATCCTGGATTATCCTGGAACCGGTGGGTTCATTCGCTACTTCTACTTCCTCCAGAAGCTGTTTGCTGGTTTCGAACAGCTCGGGAAGACTAGGCAGCTGTAACCCATCTTCTGACGCTGCCATGTTGAGGAAGGAATCTAGAATAATTTACTTCCGGGGTAGAAGGCAACCTTGCTAAAATGAGTCGCGCAAGCAACAAAGACACCGGAAGTGGCGCTCCATTGGCCAGTCCCTTAATTGTTACCAAAACGTAGACGAACTCCTGGGAGCAGCAGTTTGCCGGCCCTGGCAAGCGTTGTCATAGACTCATTTTACCAGGAAACCTGTTATAAGCCGTAGGCATCTGTTAAAAAGCAAATACACAAGCAAAACCTTAGGCGCTATTTTATGATTTGATTCTCGTGGCCGACACTGGGCTGGGAAATTTAGTGGGGTCTCAGACTCCGGGGTGGCGACGCTGAATTCTGAGCGCCAGCAAGCGTGTGAGGGCGAGTGCGGGAACCGGTGCGCTTTGGGGGCACGCCAGGAGTACGTCTTACCTCGCGAGTTGCTCCCTAAATTTAGAAGTCCCAACAGCCAGGTGCTCCAACTGCCGCGCCACTCACAGTTCGGAGGGCTGATCTCCCCAGTGCGAAGTGCAAGTGGCGCCCCCTTCCGGTTTCCGTCACCCATCAGATGGAGCTCCGGGTTCCTCCCAACTAGTACTCCGCTCCCCTGTTCCCCTTCACGTCACCTCCTCCTCTCTACACTCTCCTGCGCCCTCTGGGCTGACAACCTGTGGAGCCTCTTCTTAGCCCAGATAAAGGGGTAATCTGTGATGGCTATCTTCCCACAGCCCGTCTCTTTCAGGCCACCTAGTTCCCAGGTCAAATGATACTTCCTCTGTGCAACCTTCTTTGACTCCCCCCGCCCTCGCACACGCCCCTGCCCTGCTCAGGTTTCTTCTGTGCAACCTTATCACAGCACCCACTACACTGTATAATAGCGATTTACTAATGTGTCACTTACCAGAACGAATCTGTTTCATCTTTGTATCTGTCTGGCTAGACTATTTATGAATAGAAAAATAAGTACAGCAATCCGTTTGGAAAGCTGCCCAATCATACAGAACTGGACTGTTTAATAGGTGGCTACTAACCACTTTAATGTGGCTATTTTAAACTGAGATTTGATGTACGTGTAAACCACACATCAGATTTTGAAGACATTACAAAAAATAGAAGAATGTAAACTCTCTCAATACTTTCTACATTCACTACATGTTAAAATGATACTGTTTACTGTTTCTTTTTTTTTTTTTTTGGTACCGGGGATTGAACTCAGGTCCTTGAGCTTGCAAGGCAGGCCACCAAACCACTGAGCTAAATCTCCAGCCCTAAAAATGATATTGTTTTAATATGTTGGGGTAAATATTCTTAAAATTAGTTTCACTTGTTTCTTCATTTTTTCCCTCTCTTTGAGTTTATTGGTACATTTTAGGTACACAGTACAGTTACATTCGTCATTGGGATCTTGTACCTTTACATGACAGGTCTTGGTTCTCATTTTTTTCCCTTGTCCCTGCTCTCCCTTCACCTCCTCCTAGAATATATAAAGAACTAAAAAGAAATCAGCCCCCCAAATATAAAGACCCGATTCAAAAATGGGCATCTGAAATGAACAGACATTTCTCAGACAAAGAAGTAAAAGCAGCAAATAAATATATGAAAAAATGTTCCACATCATTGGTCATTCGAGAGATGCAGATGAAAACAACACTGAGATTCCACCTCAACCCACAAAGAATGGCTGCTGTCAAGAAATCAAATAATAAATGTTGGCAGGGTTGTGGGGAGAAAGGAACCCTTCTCCACTGTTGGTGGGAGTGCAGACTGGTACAACCACTATGGAAATCAATATGGAGATACCTCAGAGAGCTGGGATTAGAGGTTCCATTTGACCCAGCCATCCCTCTGCTGAGCATCTTTCCAAAAGAATTAAAAGAATCATATCACAGTGATATATGTGCACCAATGTTTATAGTGGCACAGTTTGTAATAGCTAAAACTTGGAAACAGCCCATTTGCCCACCATTTGGAGACTGCATAAAGAAGATGTGGTTTTTCTATTAAATGGAATACTACTCAGCCACAAAGAATGAAAAATTAGAGTCATTAATAGGAAAATGGATACATATTGAGGATATACTCCTAAGTGAAATAAGTCACACATGTATAAATACCGAATAGCTTCTCTGGTGTGAAAAACTATAATGGTACATAAGATCCTAATGATATAATTGACAATTTGAAATAGGAGGAGTGAGTTTCTTCATTATTTTTTAAAGCAACCTACAAGAAAATTTGAAGTTACTTTTGTGGCTCATGTATTTCTACTAGACAGTATTGATGTAAAATACAATTCCAGGACTTTGAAAGAAAGGACATCATTACTCTCAGTAAATCAATATACTTAACTGGTTACCTTCAGACACTCCCTGGGTTGACTTGAGATTTAGGTAGAAGGTGCATTACCCCAAGATAAACTTTTAAACTGTATTTTAAACTAAATATGTGGGAAGGAAAATATTTTTATATAAAAGTAAATAGAGGACCCAGGGATTTAGCTCAGTGGCACCACACCTGACCACCGAGAGCAACCCTGTGTTTGATTCCTCTCACCGAATGAAAAAAAAAAAAAGAGTGAAGTAAATAGAGAGCAATATAGGACTGTTTCACAGACTGTTGAAAATCCAAAAAGACAAGTTATTCCATGCAAGCAGTCCAAAAGGCTTCTCAGACATGACACACAGAGGGGCTTGTAATTTAGCTTAGCAGCACAGCACCTGCCTGTCAAGCATGAGGTCCTGAGTTCAATCCCTGGTACCAAAACAAGCAAACAAAAAAACGGACATGACATGCAGTCATAGCATTTCAAAGTTGGAAGAAAGAACCTCAAAAATCAGAGGAAAGATTAACTGACTTGCCCAACAAGTTTGTGACAAAGCTAATGTCTTCTGAGAAGTTCAATTGTTTTACCCCATTAATCTTCAGTGGGGTAGGATTTTAAAAGATGGAGAAAATCTTTCATGTGGGGCTAAGTGAATCCCCAAGAGACAACAGTACTTTATAAGAGGGAGAGGACACTGGGGCCTATGTAGAGGTAGAAAAGGCTTTCCAGGTGATTCTAATAAATGTCTCCTTGCAACCCCTGCTTTACAATCTGAGGAGGAAATGAGGCTCTGAGGAATCACCTATTTGGTCTTCTAGTCACTCTAGCAAACTTTGGCCATGAATGGAAAGACAGTGTTTGTGGAGGAGACTTGAAAACAGTGATTGTGACACTAATAATAACTTAACTTATTTGCACATGTTGGGATTAAGACATTTTTGCGTTATCTAAGTGGAAAAACATGCAGAATTTGGTTCTGAACTTCGTAAACCATTTTTATGACTTCCAAAATAGTCTTTGTGAGAGTTGCTAATTACTTTCAGAGTCTCTATTACATATTAGAATTGTCATTTAAGCATTGCATTTGATCTTTGAAATGACACCAAGAAGACTGTAAAAAATGATAAAAAAGGAGTAGAAATGAGTTGTATTTCTGTGACTAAACACTTTATCATATTAAATTTATCTTGTGTATGAGAGGCTTTTCAAAATACTAGTTTAAGAGAAAATAGAAGGGTCTTAAAAATTATGAAAGTATTATGGTACTTAAACATTTTGTAGTACATTAACTTTTTCCAAACTAAAGTAAATTTTATTTTTTCCCATTAAGTTTATTGGTACATTTTAGGTATACAATACACTTACATTTATCATTGGGATCTTGTACCTTTACATGATGTATCTTGGCTCTTATTTTCCCCTGATTCCTCTGCCCCTCCTTCCCTATTTACAAAGACTTTGTTTCCATTTTTTTCTTTTCTTATATTTTTTCTTTTCCCTTCTGTCCTTTCTCCTACCCTTCCCACTTCCCCTACTCAATTAGGCCTTTTCTTTTCTTTTTTCTTTTTATTGAGTTTATTGGTACAATCTAGGTATACAATACAGTTACATTCATCATTGGGATTCTGTACCTTTACATAATAGGTCTTGATTCTCAATTTTCCCTCTTGTCCCTGCCCTCCCTTCAACCCCTCCTCCCCTCCCCATTTACAAACACTTTATTTCCATTTTTTCAGTTTCTCATATTTTTTTTCCTCTCCCTTATTACCTTTCCCCCACCCTTCACACTTTCCCTACACCTTTAGCCCTTTACTTCCTATTTCACATTATTAATTATCTCATTAGGATCCTGTGTACTATTATAGTTTTTCACACCAAAGAAACTATTCAGTATAATTAGGCCTTTTCTTCCTATTTCATATTATCAATTATACAGTTTGATCCTTATTTACACTTTTCAAACTAAACTAAATTTTAGAGAGGCCTATGATTTCCCAAATGACTGATGTGTTTAAAAAGAATACACAGGGCCGGGGATTTAGCTCAGTGGTTCTGCCACCTGCCTTGCAAGCGCAAGGACCCGAGTTCAATCCCTGGTACAAAAAAAAGAATACACACCCAGAAGCCTGCCAACTCAGCCCATGGTCCATCTTTTCCTCAACAGCTTAGTGACATCCTAGGTACCTTGGAGGGATGTGATGCTAACTTGTCACAGTCCAGTAACTTTGCAGATAAGAGCACTAAGGCCCTGAGAAGTCAGAGGACTTGCTCAAGATTATATAGCTAAGATTAACTGGGCCATAGGGTTGTAGATTGAATCGGAATGGAGAGATACTAGAGTATAGGAGAAAATAGAAAGTATTTAACCTATGGATGACTATAGAAATGAGATAGATGACCTTTCAAGTGTTTTCCGATGTGACTCTGATAGCAATGATGACTATCTATTCATTACACTGGATCTTAACACAGATTTGTCATGTTGGATTGGCAGTTTAGAGTTTCTTTGACCTACCTTAGAGAGTCCACGGCTGTTTTTTTCTTAAGTGGGTAATATTACAATGGTATTTGTACCTGTAATGCTAATAATTGTACTACAGTCGTACCTTGGCACTTGACTGCCTTGAAATTCATCGAATTTGGAACCTAGTGCATTTCAATGCAAAAATTTTGTCCCAGAACTTGTCATTTGATGTGCAAGCTAAAACTTGTCAATATCATTTGCCTTGTGACTCGCTAACCTTTCCAGCCAAAACAATTTGTTTCCTGCTTTGGTACTTGTGGAGCCTTCCAGAGCCAATTAACAAAGAGTACCAAGGTGCCACTGTAGAGGAAATCAGATTGTGCACATGTAATGCCAAAAGCACACTATAATTCACCAAAATTTATATATTACCTACTCATTAGTGCCTAAAGTCTCTTCATGAAGTATCACTGAGATTTGAGTGTCCCTGAATACTGACAAGATGTTCATGAAAGGAAACATTTCAATATAGTGAAGACTGCATTAAATGAAATATCGCAATTCCTACATCTCATCCAAGTCTGAAGAACATAAAACAACACTCAAAAATACCCTATACACTTGGATTTGGATACCATCTCTGCTCCTGAGTAGCTGTATTACTTTGGAGAAGTTCCTTTCTTCTAGCTTTCTACTTTTGGTGTATTCTACCTGAAAAGTAGGCACAGGAATTTTGAAGAACACCACACAGGATTTTAGCCCTTAAGGGTCCCAGAGTTCAATGAAAGAGACAAGTAAACAATCAAATAATTTAGTAAATATTACTGCATATTAACAGCATTAGAAGAGCTTCAGTGGTACATGCCTGTAATCTCAGCTACTGAGAGGGGTGAGGCAGGAGAATCACAAGTTTGAGCCCTACCTTGGCAGCTTAATGACTTAGCCTGTCT